TTCCCTGATTGTCAGTACAGATCAATGAGTGTACAGAATATACATATTCGAAAATCCATTCTCGTATTTGCTATATTTAATCCCGTTATTCACTGACCTGGATTATGTCGCAAATTATATATGAGGATAGCTTGCATATATATCTCAATAGCAATTAGAAACGATCTAACTGGAGTCAGATGTGGGTCGACTAAAGCCCACCATAGGGAACTTTTACGACTTTTCTCCCCGTTGTCGACACTTGAATATTTCGGAAGTAACGACGATTTCATTGTGTCTACTGCTCGCTCGAATTTACGACTCCGTATCTACTTCTGGTCTACATTTGCACACAATGACCTGCTGCTTACCTGAATGTTGGTTAATTGAATTGTATTGTATCTACACCTAGACAAAATGTTCCCTTCGCTTGTGCTTATTTCTTTTAGTGTAAAAACGCTTTTACCTAGCCGACTTTGTTTGGAAAAAATATCCATGATAAAAAGTAATCTATTTGCAGAAGTGTAAACATGGATATCAAGAAGAAGAATGTCATCAGTTAATGAGTTAACCACTAGAAGTGTCCCAATTTAAAGCTCAGTATAAAGTCATGCACACCTAGAATGCATATTTTTGTAGTATCTTGACATATCACATATTAGTAAGAAAGCCAATGCATAAGATATCGCTTATTAGAAAATTATGACTGAAATACAGACGATATTTAAATTACATTAATACCAAGTTCACACATTAACTTAGTTGTACATAACATTGTTATGAAGTTGTAGGTCATTTTTTAACCCATCGAGGCAATGAAATCACAAACGAAGATTGTGGAAAATAGTCTTAACTTGCAAAAGAAAATGTCAATATTTTGGGTTTTCTTCACTAGATTGCAGTTTTATTAGTTATCGTTGAAGCAGAACGAACGATATCTGATAAGATTCGCATTCAACATTGCAGAGGACATCGAAAATAAGAACGCGGAAATACTTGATCGATATGGCATGACCCGACCCTGTAGGTTCTGGTCACTACTGTGTAACACTTTCCTTGTCATAAATATTGATTGGTATTAGTAAATTTTTTCTATACCATCAGAACAATAGATTTATTTCATAATTGTAGATTTATCATGATGTTACTATGTTGTGATATTGGCCTCTAATCACACAATCCTCAAAGCTGAACTTGAGGCGACCGAGAAAATTGACATTCAACATTTAACGCAAAGAAAAAGTCAAGAATGGCGAAAGCAGTAAGAGTTGATTCAATTCATCGGATTGTATGACTCGGCCTTGCAGGCGTAACCATTTTTATTTAACGTACCTCGTTTATCCATATAAAAATATATTGTTCAATCTACAGCCAAAATGTGTTCTTCATCGTATATTAATGATTGTTGAGATGAGTCAGTGTAGACAATGATGTGATGTAACATTTTAATAATTAGGCAGTTGCATCATAATGAATTTAAAATTTTAGGATTAGGTCTATCATTAGAGCTATACTAATAACAAAGTAGATCATAATTCTATAACTACCTTATCATTCAAAAATTACGTGTAATTCGTTCATACTGGCTTGTCCTATCATGACAGAAAATGTTTGTGGCTAAGGACTTCTGAAGAATGCATTTGAACTGGAAATCAAATTATTGATATATTGTGTAAATCAAGAGGACATATAACGATTACCAAATCTGAATGGCCAAGTCATACTATATTGATCGAATGCTCTTGCGTTCACGATTTCTGACCTTCTCTACAGTTTTGAATGTTAATTTTAGCTACCGTTTATTCAGCTTCAAGGATCGTCTTGGGGACCAACACCATTACACTACTATCCTACCAGGATCAACATGGCTTCATTCCGATGCAATACCAAGTGAGGTCATCGCTCGCAGATGGTTACTAAGAGAATAGTTAGAATCCTCCAGGTGTTAACAATGTGAAGTATGAAGTAAAACAATAGCAGCAAGAAATAAATCGCTACGTGCAATAATTTCAAAATCTTTGGTTTTATTTTTAGCACTTGTTAAACGAAAATTCACATGCACACGATTTGGGAGATAAACCAATTGGAATTGTAAGACTGCAGAATAAATTGTTATTAGTAGATTTAAAAAATTCGTATCAAAATGTGTACCATCAACCGGTGGTTTACAGCTTAATGTATGAACAACGCAAGCACTTGATGCTTAGATTAATAGTAAACAAATGCAAAACCAATCATCAATGTAGAAATGCTGATATTATAACTAAAGTTGACTTCATTCGGCAGATTAGATACTTAGGCCCGTCTGCTGATAGTATGTGTTGATTTATAATTGCATTTTCGTTAGTAAGCTAACTGAAGGAACAGAAGTATAACCACGTAGAGGAAAAATTCCAACTAATGTGCCGGTTAGTTTTTTAGGCTTTACAACATTTATATAGTTACAGAGATATTCTTTCTTTACTTTTTAGCCATAACATAACTTATTAATACTACTAATAGATTGGAACTTGTATCAAAAATTCACTTAGTACGTGGGAGCAATTCGCCAAACATGAGTGAATATATGAAAGACTTGAAGTTGACACAATTTCCTGATGTACAATAAAGAAATTATTCATATTCATACTGATTAGTTGTTAACTCTGCATGTAGCTCATCTAGAGATACTCCCAGTCCCAAACTCAGGTAAAGGAGGAGTGTTGGGCATGTGTTTAGCGACCCCATCCCGTAGAAAACTAACTCGCTAAAAAAAACTAAACAAAAAAAATAATTCACACCATTTAAACTTTGTCCTGGGAGTAAGAAGGTCTTCTTTAGAAGAACTATGATGCCTCACGGTGAAAGCCGAGTTCCTTTGGAAGCCACGACCCCGACGCCACTTCAAACAACCAGAGCAACAATTTTTATAGCTATATGGAATGTCCGGACAATGTGGGAGACCGGGAACACCAGTCAAATAGCAACGGAAATGAGGAGATACAACTTAGTAGTACTAGAAATCAGCGAAACCCATTGGACCCAAGCTAGACCACAAAGGCTACATATGTGAGAGACGCTCCTATACTACGTTCACACCGAGGAAAATGCTCCACATACTCAGGGAGTTGCTCTAATGCTGTCTAAAGTAGTACGAAATGCACTTGTGAAATGGGAATCTCACGGATCCAGAATCATCAAAGCATCATTCAAAACAACCCAGAGAACAGCAATCCAATCACACTTGTTGGCGAAACTCTGGAAGATGTAGAATCCTTCACATACCTCGGAAGCATCATCGATGAATAAAGAAGATCCAATGCAGACGTCAAGGTGATGATTGGCAAAGTAACGGCAGCATCTCTGTGGTTGAAAAACATATGGAATCTTCAATACGATCATCAAGACAGTTCCATTGTGTGAAGCTGAAACTTGGAGAACTACAACAACCACCATCAAGAAGGTACAAGTATTTATAAACAGTTGTATACGCAAAACACTCAATGTCTGTTGGCCAGATACCATCAGAATCAGCCTTCTAAAGGAGAAAACAGACCAGCTTACAGCTGAAGAGGGAATTAGGAAAAGACAACAAAAGGGATAAGACATACATTACGCAAATCATCAAACTGAATCACGAGGCAGGCCCTAACTTGGAATCCTGAAGGGAAGCGGAAAAGAGGAAGGCCAAAGGACACATTACGTCGCGAAATGGAATCAGATATGAAAAGGATGCAGGACAACTGAAAAGAGCTGGAAAGTATTGCCCAGGATAGGGTTGAATGAAGAATGATGATGAGTGGCCTATGCTCCTTCACGAGGAGTAACAGGCGTAAGTAAGTGATCAGTTGATGATGCATACAATTAGTCACAGGTATGAAGTTAGGAACAAGGTAAAGACCGGCACCTTGAGATAGAGGGAATACAAGTTGTTGGATTTGGCAAAGCTTGTATTTCTCAGATCCAAGAGACATGATTTTGTTCGTTTTCAGATAGATTAATCTGTGAGTGTTGAGTATGTCATTATTAGATAGAGCGTAAGTTGTAACCAAGAAGTGTACCACCTCCAACTCACGTTTATGACAATGTTATGAACTTTTATCAGTGTTAGAGTATCCATTACGGAATGCAATAAGAGGTGTTGAAGAAATGAAAGCAATAAGTGTTGGAAGTGTGGGATATACGACATAAGATATGGAAGCTATGTGGTTAGTAAATTTGCGAATAACCACATTTTTATTAAGCCTCAAGGCAACATGCGTGGATACAGTATTTGCTTACTTAAAGGTATAGATATATTTATCTGGTTTCAGATGTAAGGAGGTTCTTTAATGTCTGAGTGGAGCGGAGATGCGTTCATCATTACTGTAAAACTAGTGCATAGCAATCGCCAGCGTCAACTATATGAAACCGTTAACTAATAAAGAGATACCAGTCCCTAAATTCAGACTGGTATTTGATAGCTATCCGACAGAAGATTGGCTATTTTAATATATTGAACATTAGGTCTGCGCCATTTGCTTTGATTTGGCCTTGACTGAACGGTGGGATTGTACCTATTGCGCACACATTTCTCTTCGTCATTCGTCTATGTAAATGAAAGTTTCCTCAATTTTAAGGACAGTTCGTAGAAACCTGATATCTGTGTCTGTACCCACCTTTACTGCCTATATAATTTACATAGATTATCAAGCTTGCAAAAATTATAAAGTTAGTTTGTAGGTTATTATATAACATCTCACATAGGGATCGAAACTTGCAAATGAAACTCCAGGTGTCGTTGGGTAATTTTCGGATGGGGTTGTTTGTGACTGGAATAGTAGCTGGTGTTTTCGGTTCCTATGCACTTTTCAGGTGTATTCCTGTGAATGAAGGAATGAAGGGTAAATCATCACTTTATGGCAATAGGAAAGTTCCAGCTGGTGAAGATCCGTGGAAGTACTAATGTTTTAGTTAATGTATAAATAAATAATTCGTAGCAGTAGAGTGTCTTTTGTTTTAATGCCCACGTTGTAAACATTCTAACCATCCTTTTGTTTTCAGTGCTCTGCTGTCTAAATTATGGAAAGTGTATCGAAGCGGAATAATTTAGAGGATGATCTAAAGAATGTGGAGTTTGAGACATCTGAAAATATCGAAGTAATCCCATCTTTCGATTCAATGTGTCTGCGAGACGATCTACTACGGGGGATCTACGCTTATGGTAATAACCCCTAAATTCTTTAGTTCATCTCATAGGATTTGAGCGGCCTTCAGCTATCCAGCAAAGAGCTATCAAACAAATAGTGAAGGGTCGAGATGTTATAGCACAGTAAGTACTTCATTATTAGCTTTTTTCTTTTTTTAGAGCTCAGTCTGGTACTGGCAAAACCGCAACATTAGGTATATCTATTCTACAAATGTTGGATACTCAGCTAAGAGAAACTCAAGCTTTGGTTTTGTCTCCAACCCGTGAACTAGCTTCGCAAATACAGAAAGTCATCCTCGCCCTAGGTGACTATATGAATGTTCAATGTCACGCTTGTTATGGTGGAACAAACATTGGAGAAGATATTAGGAAACTAGACTACGGACAACATGTCATATCTGGAACTCCTGGTCGTGTGTTCGGTGAGTAGTATGTACTATTGAAAATATTTGTTTACAAATATACACACGCTTGATAGTTTCATGTGTGTCTTTCACTAGTTCTACTACTGATTAAAACGACTGGGAAAAAATTCAAATACTGACTCATAAGCAGCCAGTATCATATACTTGGCGAGGGAGATGTCATAATAGCATATATGAAGCAATACTAAACTTAAAAGTGTCATAAACAGGATAACATATAGGGAATTTGTCGATCACTAATTAGTCCGTCGGTTATCAAATTCAGCTGCATGAATATGGCTTTGAGTCACATTGTTTTTGGAAGGGCTAGTTGCATTACTTATTTGTTAATAATGTTAAATTTTTTCTGAATAGTTATTTATTCATTTGAACACAGATATTGTTACAAGGAGGCACCTAATACATATGCGCCACACAAATCTCATTTGATATGTGTGAGGGCTGTAATACTGCCCGGGTGTCCAAACCGAAGCAGGTGATTTCCTTAGGGGGCCACACCCTGAGCCTTTGACCTGAAGGTTTGATCCACAAGGCAGTGGAACATCATAAAGAAATGCAATCCCATGGTAGCTGATGACCAACGATTGGTTTATACTCCATTTGTTCCTTCAGGATCCTGGGGCCCATGTGCACCATTAGTTTGGAATCAGGGTCCCCCTACTCCCCTAGGTGGACCTCCGTGTCCACCAACCCGGATAAAGCGCTGGACATTCGCTTTCCATCCTCTCAATTTCGTAAACAACACCCCCGCCACGAGAAGGCAGTGAGTAGGACTTCCCTGGCACAGGCTTTATACGCGTGACCATGTGAGAGCGTTTCGAGGGGGTGAGTAGACTCTCCTTGCTCTCGGCCGTACCAGAGCATTTGGGGGCAAAGTGCCCACAGCACAAGGCCTCGTCGAGACCATTACAACCTGATGTTACAAACTTTACTAAATATTAATAGTCCATCTTCATCTCTTGTCGTTATGAATATTCGGAATTAGATTATGAATTTAATGTACGTTTTTGTTTTGTGCAGATATGATACGCCGTCGCAGTTTACGAACAAGAGCTGTTAAGTTGTTTGTTCTGGATGAAGCCGATGAGATGTTGGATAAAGGGTTTAAAGAGCAAATTTATGATGTTTATCGGTACTTGCCTCCTGGTACACAAGTAGTTCTTCTATCTGCCACAATGCCTCATGAGATCCTCGAAATGACGTCAAAGTTCATGACCAATCCTGTTCGGATTCTGGTAAAACGGTAAGTTAGCTTCAATATTTTTTTCGTGAGATCATCAAGTGAACGTGAATTGTCTAAATTCTAATTCAAGCGAGCATAGTATTTCGTGAAATAATTGTCATCTCATTAGATTTGTGTAAGGGCTGTGATATTGTCCGGGTGTCCAAACCGAAGCAGGTGGTTTTCTAAGGGTGCCACACCCTGAGCCTTTGACCTGAGGGTCTGATCCACAAGGCGGTGGAGCATCGTAAGGAGATGCAGTCCTATGGTAACCGGTGACCAACGCCATTCGTTCCCTCAGGTTGAACTGTTCTCCATGGTATACTGCCCATTCGTCCAATCTCCTGGATTGAGAGTGAATAATAGCCCTATCTTTTCCCGAGATAATTTCACTAACAGCCGAACTTTTAATAACCGTTTCGTTGGTAAGTCTGATTGCTCATATACTGTTACTTATCGATGCTTCCGCTTCTCATTGTGTTTAGAGCCTGACAGGATGAGTTTACGAGTGTCCATCATTTTAATAGACGTCACTGAAATCCACTGAATTTTCTTGACCTTTTGATTCAAGTTACTAGTAGATAATACTGCTGTTTCCACAGCTTTCTGGATATCATTCCAAGCTACATCTGGGTGGACATGGCTTTCACGGCTGACTAACTTTTTCTCTAGCTGTTCCTGAAATATATTCCTAACTTTTTCATCATTAAGCTGGATTCTAACGGGTTTTCTTGCTGTGGATTTTATACGTCCAGTATGACGCAGACAAATAGGTGCTTGAACTAAGGTGTGATCTGAGTCCAAACATGTGATCCAAAATAAGCGACAGTCTCCTATCGAGCCTCTCCAGCGATGGCTGATGGCAATGTGGTCTATTTGTGTCCACCGTTTAGTCGATTTTAAAGGTCGTCACGTCGGATGTTTTTCCTTGTGTTTAAAGTTGGTCGAACCTTAAGTTGTTGCTTTTGCTCTTACTGTTCTCCAACCAACTCGTCTTCCAGGGTAGGACCTAAAGAAATATGTTTCAGCCAATATGACTCGGTTGGGTCGCTGCGATAGGCAAAGCTAACTACCACGTCGAGGTAGCAGCTACAGTCGGGATGAGGGCTAGCAGTTCTACTAAATTATTGAGGTAAATTAGTATAGATTCCATCAAGCTACTGTGATGATAAAAAAGACCACTAAATATGGCTAGAAAACATTTTGTCTGTTGTTTCTGTAGGCCTACTTCTTCATTTTGCATTCTCGGACTCTTAACATCTGTATTTTTTTTGTTTAATTCTATACTACGATTGTATGTAATTGATAATAAGCTAGCAATGTAAAATAGTCATCTTATTCTATAAGTATTGTTCCGTTTCCTCTGACGTTATTTATTTACTTGAAGGCGAACATTATGGGGTAAATAATAAGATTACACTTGAAACGGCTACTCGCATGTATAATTACTGTTTAGTCTGTTTTTTTTGCTCAACTGCCATACTGCTTTTTCATGTATGTAAAGGCAACTGATACCTTTCACCGTTACATGATGACTTGGTACACTCGAATCTCATCAGTCATATTTCTTTATCGATTATGTATATAAGCTAAAAGCTTAATAATTTGTCAATCTTGTATCATCTCAACATACCTAGGTATTCGGTTTGAGTTATTTTTACTGTATTATGAACTTCATCAACTGTAATTAACAGGAATGATGGAGACACTTACACGCTCACAATAGTGGGTAGGATACTACTTTTTATGAACAAACGGTTTCGATAAACAGATTTACTGTTACTTGACGTTTCTTTATATGAAATATATGCTTTATTAGTAAAATTATATACCATGATTTTTCATGCGTGTCACCCAAGTGCATCACTGTTTTGAAACATCACATGAAATCCGTGAACATCTTGATTTAAGTTTGTTTGTTTTCTTATAAGAATTATGGTTGTTCTAACTCTTGTTTCTGATATTTTACAGCGATGAATTAACTTTGGAAGGCATAAAGCAATTCTTTGTGGCAGTAGAACGAGAAGAATGGAAATTTGACACTCTTTGTGATTTATACGATACACTCACTGTCACTCAGTCTGTTATTTTCTGCAATACTAAACGTAAAGTTGCATGGTTGACGGAGAAAATGCTCAAAAATAACTTCACTGTGGCTTCTATGCATGGTGATATGGTCCAGAAAGAGCGAGAAGAAATTATGAAAGATTTCCGAGCTGGGGATAGGTATGTTCAAAGTATAGTGATTGTTCAGCATATTTATTTTTTACATTTTTAAAATAAACACTAAAATTCTCATCATAAGCATATTTACATGTAGTTTGGTTAAGTTACGAGCTTCACCACATCGGTTACAATGGCGTTAATGCATTCACTCTGTCTTCCAGATCTTAAGTTCCAGCATCCCTCCATTAATACCTTCCCATTCTGTCTTTCAAAACTATGTTCTGAATGGTTAGTTTAGCCTGGTTCACCATCGTTGGTATATATATATATATATAAGCTAACGACAACTAATGTAGACCAAACGTCTCCATAGCTGCTACTCTTGCTCAGCTTCACTATAGGTGCATAATATAGGCGATTTTATGCTTCCGATGGTTCAAAGCCAATCTGATTTACTTATCATATATAATATAGTCGTGATAGGCTAGGTCATTGGCAGAATTTGAATTTTCCTGGATGCTTTAATTGAAGATATCTGAGCATTTAGTTAGCGTTTTGTATCCGAAAAATGTCTGGTTTTACCTCTCTGTACCAATATTTATGTGTTCAAATAAATAATAAATAAATACTGGTTTTACCTGAAGATTGACCGACAATATGTGCTTTAAGTACGGAGAGGCTACCCATTTATGCGTTAACTGCATCTATACCAAGGCGATCCAACAGTTTGATGTTTTCCAATCCACTTAATTCAGAATAATCTGAATGTCTTGTTGGAATAAACTGCCTAGGATAGCATCTGTTATTCGTTTGCAAGCGCCAAAACATCAGTTATGTAGTGGAAACATTGAATTTTCAGCTTTAAAGTTGAGCGATTCTGTTCAGATAATGAGTCTTCATTTGGTTAAACTTTTGAGGAATACTTAGGTCTTGTTACGCCGCCCCACTTTCTGGATACCCAGTGTTAGAGTTTAATCAAACCAAGAATGGCCACATCACATCATGGTTCAAGTGCTTATAATATTATATTTCACTGATTGAAGTGGCTCAAAATCTTCAAGTATTTATCTTCCTTTAAATGACAAAATCTTATGTTTATTTATTTCGTGTCTATCCACCTCGTAGCTAATTTCAATTTCTTGTATTTGTATAATCATTCAGTGAGACGAAGTTGATCAGAACTATTAAATATGTTAATCCAATACATTTCGAACATAGCTTAATGCTATTGATTCATTATCCAATATAATGTCATTTGCATCGTTTTTTCTTCCAATTTCATTTTCCATATATAAATATCTTGACAAGTATATGTATGATCATTTTGTTCGAAATGTATTGCGCTAATATATCATATAGTTATGATAAGCTTCGTCTTTTCATTTGCATTATCCTAAATTATGAAAGACACCAACTATTTTAAATACGTGTTTTATTGAAAAGTATAAGAATACAAGTCAGTAAAATTGACTTTAAGTAATTCATTTGTTGATTATGTTTGCATTTCAGCCGCGTCCTTATAACAACAGACTTGTGGGCACGAGGTATTGATGTCCAACAAGTATCTCTCGTCATAAACTACGATTTACCGAACAATCGTGAACTTTACATCCATCGTATAGGTCGATCGGGCCGTTTCGGACGTAAAGGTGTAGCGATTAACTTTGTAAAAACGGATGATATAAAAATCCTACGGGATATTGAACAGTACTACTCTACACAAATTGATGAAATGCCAATGAATGTTTCAGACCTTGTATAATTTCTGGCATTCTTTCCGTACTTTAATAAATACTTCTATTTTGTATGTAGTCAACTTTTGATTTTTAGTCGATGCAGTTAGTTATGTCGATATTATCATGTCAGTTTATGTTATCAAATTTGACTAATATATACCCTCTGTGTTGATAATGACCGACTAAATATATATTGCTCAGATTACGTAGACTATTTTAGTCTCAAGATTAACGAACTTGAGTGTAGGTACGATTCATTCATAATGTTACTGATTAGTAAGGTACGCTTATTAATTAACAAGATCACTCAGTCACTCGAATGAAATTTGTAAAATGAAACTAGGGATAAGCTTAAAAATCCTAAACTGCTTTTGTGAATTAAAAACAAAAGACATTGCTAGTCAATGATTTTTTTTACTCAAGTAGAATCAACCACCTTAATCTGATAACTATGATCCCAAAGTTGCGAATTTCACACAATGTAGTTGTTTAATATGATGGGGATTTGTTCTTCGACCTTATGAAAGGTTTAGCGACTGCATATATTCCAGTAACACCTTCAGAAAAACTGTGAAGATAAAAGGAAATATACCGTGGATTAACAGAAAGGTAGGATTTCGCTAAAACAACAACAAGAAATATAGCAACAGAATTCGTATTGTAATTAGTTTGACATCAAATGTTTTCCGAATTTTCGTGACCTGAGAAATGCCTTGTATCACAATATGACAAATATGAATGTCTAATTATTAGCACATCCGGAATTCAATTACCTGTAGCCTATATGGTATATATATATCTTTCACTTTAAATTAATATTGATATTTTATACCAGGCATTAGGTAGTGGAGTTAATAAGAGCCGACTGATGGAACGTGTCCACTTAACCTTAACTTTCAAACAATTCTCGTAAACAAACTGCATTGTCGATTACTAGCAAATCAATTTCTAGACCACAAAATTGTCATGCATAACATTCTTTACAGTATTATTGTGTTTTCTGCACTTAAAAATGTCAGAAAATGAGTTATGCGAATCTTGTATATATTGTTTAGTTTACCAAAAGATACATCTATTCATCATGGATTTACTTATTTCAATAGAATCCCCAAAATATCAGCAATAAATCCAATTTTAATGAACAATATGAGGGTAAAACGAAGCAAGTACAAAATATCTCCATCAATTGACTATAATATTATACTGAATACATGCCAGTCACTATAATTTTATGTGCATATAAGTAACAAAGACAAAGGGTACACTAATCCAACTAACAATTTTTCGAAACTTTCTTGTATAGATATCACACCAGTCATCAACAAAAGTTTAGCATTACATAAAACAGACAAATATCGAAGGTAGTTTACTTGTTTGAAAAATTTTAATGGAAAAAAACTTGCGCAAGGAAGTTCACTGTGTGCTTGATCTAATTCAACATTTAGTAATCAGTTAAGGTGATCTCATTTTGGTAATCTGTTTACCACGGTAAATAGCAATCACAATAAAATCCCATCACCAACCAACTGATTCAGTTACAATAACAACAAATCAGAAGTTATTACTCTTTTGTGAAGATATTCTCCAGTTAAGCGATGAAAGGTATTTATCAACCCATACGTGTCGATTTAGCTTCTCCTATAGCTCTTCCAGAGTTACTGCCTATCCCAAGCCCGGGTAAAGAAAGAGGGTTGGGTGTAGTATCAGCAGCCGCATCCTGTAAAAAACAACCTTGCCAGAAACGCTAATCAAATTAAAACATTTAAAGTCTGCCCTGGGTGTTGAGGAAAGAATTATGACCCCCAATGATGAAAGCCAAGATTCTTCGGAAGTCAGGAGACCGATGCCCCTTTTAACAACCAGATTAACAATTTTCATAGGTACATGGAATTCCCGGACAGTGTTGGAGACCTGAAGGACCAGTGAAATAGCTACGGGAATGGGATTCAACTTGGCGGTGCTCGGAATCAGTGAAAACCATTGGACCCAAGTTGGATAGAAAATATTAGATTCGAGAGAAATGCTGGTGTACCCTGGTCACGATGAAGAATGCTCCATACACTCAGGGAGTTGTTCTGATGCTGTGCGAAAAACACGCAAAGCATTTATGGGGATGGGAATGTCACTGACCCATGGTGTTCAAAACAAAGAATGAGGCAATTGCAATGAATGTTATGTACCGGCAGTAATAACAATGACAACGATAAAGATCAGTTCTATAAGAGGCTGTAATCGATAATGGTGAAGTGTCCAGGAAACAGTTTGACCATCTTAATGGGATATCTAAAAGCCAAAGTTGGATCGGATAACTACGGTAGTGTAAATATCATGGGACGACATGGACTGGGAGAGAGAAACGAAGATGGGGAGAGATTCGCCAATCTACTTGCACTCAAAAATCTGCTTATAAGCGGCACAAAGCTACATGCGTCTCACCGGAACGCCACGGAGAACCAGGTCGATTATATTTGCATCAATAAAAAATTCCGAAGGACAAGGGGAAATGTGAGAACCAGTAGGAAAGCTGGCATAGCTTCAAATCACCACCTGGTTGCGGCCAAGATGAAAGTGAAGCTAAAGAAACACTGGACAACTGGAAGAACAGCATTACAATGGTTCAATACAGCCTTCCTTCGACATACTGACAAACTCAACGGATTCAAGATAAGTCTCAACAATAGGCTCCAAGCCTTACAGGATCTAATGAAAAAAGAAACTACTAGGAAAGCAACTGGAAAGGCGCCAGATAAGCACTAACTTCAACATATCAAGAGATTCTGGGTCGCAAGAAGCATCATCAAAAGGAATAGATCTCTATAGAAACCCCGGTCAAGTTTCAAAAATGCAAGGTGAAGAAATCAGCAGTCAACAACAGCCGAACAAGAAAAGAAAATGTCAGGGCACAAGCTGAATACGCAGAAACAAACAAACAAGTGAAGAACAGCATTAGAGCTGACAAGCAGAAATTCGTGGAAGACCTAGAAACAACAGTGGAAAAAGCTGCAACAGAAGGAAATATAAGACAACTATATAACACAACAAAGAAACTGGCAAGGAATTATAGTAAAGTAGAGACCGATCAGGGACGAAGAAGGCAAGACAATCACCGAGATTCAAGAACAGAAGAACAGATGGGTAGAACACTTCGAGGACCTCTTTAATAGGCCAGCTCTAATCAATCCACCGAATATCGAAGCACCACATACAGACCTTCCTATAGATGTCACTCCACCAACGATCGAATAAATTAGGATGCCCACCAGAAAAATCCCTATTGGGAAAGCAGCAGGACCTGAAAATATACCACCTGAACCATCGAGGTCGGACATAGAAGTAACTTCAGACATGCTCCACAATCTATTCAGGAAGGACATGTGCCGACAGACTGGAGAGAAGGACACTTCATCAAGATACCAACGAGAAGAGATCTGAGTAAATGTGAGAACTACAGAGGAATCACACTGCTGTCGGTACCAGGAAAAGATTTCAACAGTGTTGCTGAACGGGATGAAAGATTCAGTAGACGTCCAGCTTCAGGATCAACAGGATGGATTCCGTAAAGACCGGTCGTGCATAGACCAAATCGCAACTCTATGGATCATCGTTGAACAATCAGTTGAGTGTAACTCGTTACCATACGTCAACTTCATTGACTATGAGAAGGCGTTAGATAGTGTGGACGAGAGAACTTTACGGAACCTTCCTCAACACTATGGAGTGCCTGCGAAAATCGTCAACATTATCTGGAATTCGTACGATGGACTATACTGCGGAATTACCATCAATGAACAAGGCGGATCCGATGCAAGTGTAAATAGTGGCCTATGCTCCTCTACGAGGGATAACAGGCGTAAGTAAGTGTGTTAATTTCCTACCAGTTCAGTTGTAATTAGAGAAAATCACTTGATTTTTATCAGGATACATCAATATAAACATCTGTACTTGTAAATGAACCATTAGTTAACATTCCTATTGAAGGGGACGGCATGTGTTCGGCAGAACACAAATCTGATATGTGCGATAACCGTAGGTTTTTAGGTCATAGCATTTCAAGATAATAATCACTGATTACCGTTTCTAGTCAATAAGCATCTGAGAACACGCTCATTAGTTACTTCAACATATATAGTGATGCGACAATCAGAGAGTAGCAGATAAAGTTGAAAAATATGAATTCTTGCTCATACCTTCTGGATTATGATAAAATTTACAATTATTGGCACATTTCAGCCATGGTGGGATTTCTTCAATATCATGGCGAGAATATTCCATGCACAGGCAAAGCGGTGGAATTTTTTTATTCAGACGATTAGATAAGCGAGACCATAAGGAAAGAGTTTCGTCATTATGATCATTACTTTCAGGTTTTTTCAAACTTCTACAAAATATAAAAAACATTTTAACCAATTGAATAAAATATTCTAGTAACTAGTTGGAACAATAGATACACTGAGTCAGATTGGCTAGACTAAATTGGAATGCATGAAATATATGGTCAGTAGTAATGTTTAGGAAATTTAGGTGGCTACTTCTCACGAAAAAAATGCGTTTATTTATATTTTCATAGGTTGTAATCTCTGGTACTATGTCAAACTCACGTAGACTATTCTAGATTCTAGACATACCAATTTATTCCTTCTTAAGCCACATTTTAACCTTTTCAATTATTTGCTTAATAATCGTGGCCGTTTTCACATGATCGTGTGCGTCGATTGCTCATCCTATTCATTACGTGTCTGTAAATTATTTGTCTGAATGTAAATATTGAGTTACGCTTCATCAAAACGAGTTGGCTCACTCGCCACATCGATGCGCGACACTTTGTTCCTCTGGTCGTCTATCCGGATCAACGATTGTATGAAATAAACGTATTTAAAATTCATTCTTGTATTTGGCTCATTTCATTCTGTTATTAACTAATGCGATTGGTGGCAACAATCATCAGAAACGATCTGACTGGAGACAGATAACGGGCCACTAAAAGGCAAATGAAAACGAATGTTGCATATCTAGAGCTTCGTAAGTTTAGATAAGAAGGCGTAACCTGTAGAATTAATTATTTTGGATGTAATAAAAAATCCCTATTGATTTCACTAGATAATCGTCCCTCACTAACATGAACTGACTTACTATAGTTGAATAATGAATTTTTATGACTAAACGAGGTTTGCGAAAATTGTTAAATCCCATAGTTAACAATACAGATTGATCTTAGACAAGAATAGTTGTCTATAAAATAATAGGCTGTGAGATCAGAATTTCCAAGAATGATGAATTTTTATTAATTTTAAATTTACCGAAACAACTGTTTAGGAATCCTTGTTTTTTACAGCAAGTATTAGTCGTCGGTAGTACCATTACAATGTATTTCCAAACCGTTAAAATGGAATTTAAACAGTTATGATATTATCTGTTTACAGTTAAGAATATTTACTCCTTATACTATGAAAGGCCCATTTATGTCCAAATAGCTCAGAACCAAATTTAAAGAGATTACTGCTAAGCTGTTATAGTTACAGCTTACATATTTATATCCTATAAAATTCAGTCTTAATAGAAGTGAATCAAATCTTTAATGGTTCAGTGATGACTTCTGGAACTGTGCTGCTCTAAGCTCAACAAGCAGAACTAACATAAATAGTGGTGATACAGTGAATCAATGCAAATATGGGGGTGGTTAAAAGTGTGATATAGTAAATAAACACTTAGTTCATTGGTCTAAAGGTTGATACCCATATTACTACCATTTTGTTCAGTTTATTTGCTTCTGCATCTGTCAGTCATACTCAACGTAGAACCTGGCACATATATGCAACTGATCAACTCGACACACTTTATGAATATGGCGAAATAAGAGAGTAAGTAGACCCTTTCAAATGTTTAAATTTTTAGGCAGGCGAATGCTGTTAATGAATGGAAATGATCAAACAAACTTAAAATTAAACATAGTGAAAATTCCCATTTTAGACATTCGTTCCTCCTATATTTATTAAAATTAAACATTTTATTTAATTTCGTTTAATTAACCAAAGGCATGTTATTAATTACTAGAAACCTACTAAAGTTAACAACGTTTCTTCATACAATATTTTGGCATTTGTCCCGTTATTTACGAAACCTCTGTAGCAAATCGTGGAATAAATGTTAATGGAAAATAACTGCATAAAGTTTCAATTTGTTAAGCATTAGTTTACCAAAGATATTCTTACGAACGGTTTATTATATACATACTTTAGTTAACAGAGCATCCGTTGCTTTAAAGAATATTCAAAATGAACTTTAAATGTGCTAGATATATAGTATTTGATAACAAATAAGTATTATGTAATTCGAGTGGAATCATTTGCCTCATCAATAGTTTGATAAGTAATAATGCATTAATATGATAATATGCATTGTAGCAAATAACGATATAGTATGAATGGTTGTGTATCGATTGTAACGTTATATATGTAAAAGTCTAATATATTTGATGTTACATCCCAATATCGAACTGAGCACTCAACGTCTGCTTATGAAATGAACAGTTCAGTTACAAAAATAGACTATTTGTTATAAGCAAATTATATATCCTAGATAAATTAAGCATTTCCTCCACTATACTATCTACCAACAAGTGAGAATATGAATGAACATTGAAGGGTTTACTTATTTTTACTGATGATAATACGATGAAAAGAATCATATATATATATATATATATATTATTTGCACATATAAATATTGAAACAAGAGGGCACCAAATACATATGCGCCACACAAATCTCATTTGATTTGTGTGAGGGCTGTGATACTACTCGGGTGCCCAGACCGAAGCAGGTAGTTTTCTTAGAGGGCCACACCCTGAGCTTTCGACCCGAAGGTCTAACCCACAAGGTAATGGAGAATCGTGAGGAGATGCAGTCCCATGGTAGCCGGTGACCAACGATTGGTTCATACGCCATTTGTTCCTTCAGGATACTGGAGTCCATGTGCACCAATGGTTTGGGATCCGGTTATAGCGCCGGACATTTGCTCTTCATCCTCTCATTTGCGTAAACAACACCGCCACGAGAAAGCAGTGAGTAGGACTTCCCTGGCACAGACTGTATATGCGTGGCCGTGTGAGAGCATTTCGAGAGGGAAGGCGGGCCCACCCCATCTCTCGGCTATACCAGGGCATTTGGGGGCATATATATATATAATGTTGAGTCTATCGAAGAGTCTAAATCATCCAATTGAGATACGCACAAAATCGAAGTTCACAAAACAATGATTTGCCTAAAACATCTGTTCTTTTTTATTGAATAATATACAAAAATTAGTTACAAACCTCAACTTGTGAGGTGTCTGCTATGTTTACTGCGTCTTTTTGGCTGAAATAGAAAAGGGCTTCCTATAATAGTAACATAAAGAATAATTCCAACATACGATAGTGCAAAAGACAGCTGTTAGCTACGTCTAAACTTGGTAACCGTTTATTAACAAGCAAAAAACCGAACCAAGAGTAAACAATATGGAAACTGTTGCGTTTAAATAAGAGTTTAACAAATGCATAAAATAATGAATAACTGCTACAATTATTGAGATAAAGTAATTTTAATGATAAATAAAATAAATGTTATAAGTATATGTGAATATTTCAGAATATCACACGACAAACTTGCGTTACAACATAAGCGTAGAAATTCGTAAGAATACAACTATTCACTGAATATAAATAAGTAGTATAAACTTACTTACTTACTTACGCCTGTTACTCCTCGTGAAGGAGCATAGGCCGCTCACCAGCATTCTCCATCCAACCCTGTCCTGGGCAATCCTTTCAAGCTCTTTCCAGTTCTTATTCATCTTTTTCATATCTGCTTCTATTTCTCGACGTAATGTGTTCTTTGGCCTTCCGCTTTTCCGCTTCCCTTCAGGATTCCAAGTTAGCACTTATCCCGTGGTGCAGTTTGATGATTTCCTCAATGTATGTCCTATCCATTTCCATCGTCTTTTCCTAATTTCCTCTTCAGCTGGAAGCTGGTTGGTTCTCTCCCACAAAAGGCTGTTGCTGATGGTATCCGGCCAATGGATGTTGAGTATCATGCGTAGACAGCTATTAATAAATACCTGTACCTTCTTGATGGTGGTTGTTGTAGTTCTCCAAGTTTCAGCTCCGTACAGTAGAACTGCCTTGACGTTCGTATTGAAGATTCTGACTTCGATATTGGTTGAAAGTTGTTTTGAGTTCCATATGTTCTTCAGTTGAAGGAATGCCGCTCTAGCTTTGCCAATCCTCGCCTTGACGTCTGCATCTGAACCTCCTTGTTTATCGACGATGCTTCCCAGGTATGTGAAGGATTCCACGTCTTCCAGAGTTTCTCCATCAAGAATGATTGGATTGCTGTTCTCCGTGTTGTGTTTGAAGTAGTATAAAACAATACTCAAAAGAATCGAAGGGAAGTGATTGAGAACGAAATGTAAAACCGACTTCTTAATTCTATGCTTGATTATGAGTGATCTCTCAAATTTAGGTAGAATAATAAACAAAAATGAAAAATACTTGAGCGAACAATTGTTTTCGATAGTTTCATCATCAGGCCGTACCCAGAGGGCTTTATCATTGCATGCTCGTGAACATGTACCAGCATGGTTGGGAAAAGAAGTCACTAAATCGATCAAGAGTATTGTCCTTTCTCACTTGGTAGATAGGGAACATTATATCAAAATAGAGGAAGCTTTCTCTGTTTTATATCAAATTTCAAACAATCTACCTTAAGAAACTAGAAGACGGTTACTCAAGATAACCGAAGCCATCTGGATCAACTCCATGAAACCAAACTTATGTATCCAAAAGTATATCCAGCCTATGTGTTTACCTTGACCTACGAATGGATCATTGGATACCTAAACTGAATATTATAGACCTCCCTTCCCGTTCCTTTTTTTCTTGAATACCTGTATTTTAATCTTCACATCCATCGTTCCCAATTCGTTTATCGTAAGTACCTCGATAACATCCCTCTTATTACGCATTATTTTCACACAACAATATTGTTATTATTACTATTATCATTATTATCTCAGTTGACAAGATTAAATTCTCCTACTATACATTTTATTCACGCGTTTTTTTTTGCATTTTCATTTTTGCTATAATACTATTCCACTGATTGTGACTGGACAATTTACTCCAAATCATTCTGACCTATATTAAATGACCCTTCTAATTTGCAAATAACACAATTTTGGAGTATATATACCGTAACAGATGCAAATGTTCGGCGTTTTTAACATAGAACATTGTCAAATCCAGTAATATATACCTTATTTTAGACTTCGTAAAATATGTCAACAACTATAGGATTACAAGTGTAGAGGCTGATGATGAAGTTATTGAAAACAATTGTTTGCTCAAATATTCTTCGTTTTTGAATATTCTATGGGGATTCTAAAACTTAGTATAGGGGTTGTGAAGATTATTAAGTTTTTGATTGAGATCATGAACCGATTAATGTTAGACCACAATTGAAAACCTGGAAGCACTGAAAGGCCGTTTCGTTCTATTGTGGGACTCCTCAGCAGCGTGCATCCATGATCACGCCCACGGCATTCGAACCCAGGGCCTTCTTTCTCGCCCCGTGCAGTGGTTCAAGGTTTTCAATGGTGGTCTAACATCGATCGGTTCATAATCTCAATCAAAAAAGATTCTTAAACTGTTGAAACAAATTACAATAACTGAATTGATTAAATCAGATATACATGACTACTTACATAAGTTTTTTGAAAATAATTTACTTCATATTGACTTACATCTCTTTAGTATCCATGGTATCAAACAAATTTGTATCATTTTCCTTAATTAAGTTGTTATGATTATTTACTGTCAAATTATCTCTATTAGTGGATATAATTTGTGTTGAATCACTCTCCAGATAATTAGATGATTTAAGAGTTTGATTAGATTTTACATTACGAAAATGTTTTTCAGCTTTAGCTAAAAAAGAAAAATAAACAAGAAGTGATAATAAAGATTTTTATATGCACAAAACAGAAACTAATGAAATTTTTCATCTTTATAAATAGGGTAGCAAGATAAAATATCATGTCAATAGAATTCAAAAAACTTTTTTTTTAGATGTAGCTATGCGATAGCCGGATTTTTAAAAAAGTGGAGAATTTATTTGGAACTGACAAAAATCTATATCAGTGTACGGCTAAGAGTGGGGAGAGTCAGCTCTATCACTTGAAATGCTCTCATATGGCCACGATATACACCCACACCCAAGGAAGTCCTATTCACTGCATACTCTCGATGAGGGTGTCCTTTACGAAATTGAGAGGGCTAAAACCGAATGTCTAGGGCTTTAACCGGGTTGGTGGATATAGACGATCCATTTAAGAGAGTTGGAAAAGCTTGATTCCAAACCAATGGTGCCCATATGCTCCAGGATCTTGAGGGGATAAATGTTGTATGCACCTATTGTTGGTCACTGGCTACTATGGGAGTGCATCTCCTAACGTTGCTCCACTGCCTTGTGAATTAGACCCTTAGATCAAAGGCTTGAGGAGCGGCTGCATAAGAAAACCACCTGCTTCGGTTTGGGCGCTAGGACATTAATCCAGCCCTCACACAAATAGAATGGTGAAGTGTGATGCATAGATTTTTGGTGCCTCCTTGTACCAATTTTTATGTGTTTCAATAAATAAATAATCCCATCATACCTAGGTAGATGACCTTACAGTTTTATAATCACTGTCAATTGTTGATGATACACGATTACATCATTACAAGCATAATCATGTGCTTTTATTTAAGAAGAGTATATAATTGAAGATTCTGAGTTCGTTGCGACGACACAGGTCTATAAAATTTCGATTGAAATCAAATGAAGCTATCTTATCATTTTTTGATCACTGATGGTGTTTTAGACAAAAATAAACTGCGACTCAATCAACGGATTATCAGAAGTAATCTCGAAATTTTAGATAAGAAGTCACTTTGAACTGACTTTTAACGATTACACCACAAATAAAATTAGTATAGTTAAATCAAGCCGATGGATGATGCTTTACCAATTTGAGATAAAAAATTAACTCAGTAATTAAAGCCTTGACAATAGAAGAAATCAATGCTAAAGAATATATGGAGAAATTAAATTCTCTAAAATTCCTAACCAATTACCTATTCCTTATTTATCTTAGCGTGAAATGAATTTACAAGCTTATAGAATGCTTATTAGCACCAAGTCCAACGATACACCATACATGTTTCTTTGATACTGATGAAATTTGAAAATAACAGTTTATTTACATTAAGAAACAAATCCCCATGACGTCTGATATTTTAGGTTGGTTCATGCTTCACTCGTACCCTTAAGATTAGGAATCCATGTGTGGCATTAGTCAGATATTACAGTTTCCCAATTTCCCTAGGTGAACCTGTTGTGAACGAGATTACGTGTGGGGACAACCAATCGTCGTTTTAATGTAAATTTATAGAATATCTTGGTAGAATATGAGAACTATACATTGGATACTTCACTTGCGAATTTCCATTATTTATCCTTTACATTCCGCATGATTCTTCCAGTTCACAATTCCTTTCTATGTTCTCTTCTGCTCTTTTCAACTCAATCCTCTAAGCCTTCTGCTACCAGGTTTCTCACTTCCAATTGTGTTACATACTACTTATGTCGACAGACAGAAGTAGCATACTTTACAGGTCAAGGCACCGTCACGTTCTAAGCCGAGAAATTAACGTATTACTATATGGAAACAACTCTCAAGTCTCACTATAATTAACCGTACCAAGCTATTTTGAGGTTCTTTTAATTCTATTCCATTTGCGAAGCTACACCATTTTAGTGATGACGAATAGTGTATTCAGTGGTTTGTATCACATAAACGAAATCCTTAAATTCAATTTATTTTTTGAAACCTTATTGTTGATTTAGTAAAACTAGTTAGCTTATAAATTATATTACGTTTACATTACTATCATTAAGCGTCTTTGGTCAACTTAAACCCCTCAGTGACAAGCTTTTTAATTTAAGAAGGGGATTGATAAAACAACAGTAGAAGAGACCGAGAAAAAGAATGCTGGGTTAAAAAACACATGATTATTGTATAACCTTTAATGTTTTCTGATAAAATTAAATCTTCTTTATTTCGACGTAGATCACAGACTTTCTTACGTTCAGCATCTGAATAAATACGTCTTCCAACTGCTTGTCTCATTTGTCTAGCTTTATGCTCATGTAAGCTAGAAGTTCTAAGTTTTAAATTTTTCACGAGATAGGGGAAACTATGAAGTGACAAAGCCTTAGCACGACTGGATAATTCATCAATACTCTGTTCTGTACATTTACAATGATTATGTGTAGTATTATTTGTTGTTGTTGTTGTACGACTAGACAAACTTGTTTCTTGTCTAGGTGATTGCGTGAAAAGCTTTTCTGACTGTGAAAAGAACATAAAAATAAATAACGCGTAAAGAAAGGAACTGTCAGATCATACATTATGTGACTTTAAGCAGAAATCAGATCACAAGACGAATTTATGTGTTTACAAATGTTTAAACAAACATATTTCGAAGTAATTTGAAAAACACATTAAAACAATTTTATGCTTATGAGAACGTGTAAAATCTCACCAAAAATAAGCTTCGTAAGCATCTATCTCACAATATATAGAAGATTCTAGGAATCGGTTATCTTTATAATAAATATCCTCAACAAATTACATGAAAATTACGATAGAAGTATCCCTTTTTATATCTCAAGAATAAGTCAGTCATTCAGCTACAACGTAGGACCAGGCACATATATGCGTCGGTTCACGTTGCCATACCGCATTAGCACAACAAGATGAACGCTGGATTCATAAGAGTGGTTAAGTCAAGGGTTGTAATTGAAGAAAAATTGCATATAAGAATGTAGCACGAGAAGAAAGAGTTAGTTTATAGAAAGAAAAATATGAAGCTATTTTAATCTCTTAGTTTAAAGGAAGAGAGTATATACACCTACGCCATTATGATCGATTCTGAGCCATGTCACCAAGAGTCTCCAACCATTGGTTACGATAGTCATACGGACCCCAACCAATTAGTATGCATCTACCAACATGGCTAAGATCAGAAGTTAGTGTCTTCAAGCACTGATGCCACATTTTGCTTTTGCTGCTACTAAATTTCTTCCAACCATCCCCAACACCGGTTAGCATTTTGCACGTCGTGGTAATCGGTGTTCAGGCATACCCAACACGTAGCCCAATCATCTTAGTCAATGAAGATTCACAACCTCATCAACTGATTTACCATCGTTCCCTAATACCTTGTGCCTAACATCACTATTACTTACCCGGTGGTCCCAGCAGATGCGAGCAATATTTCTGAGGCATCTGTGGTCAAATTCTGGTAGCTTACGAATATCTTCTACTCTTAAAGGCCATGTTTTGCATCCGTAAAGCAAAACAGAACGAACTGCAGAGCACTCTCAATCCCTTTGTATGAATAGATGCTTTAATATGGACTAGCAGTCATAGATAATAACTGATAGTTTACAATAACCTAAGTGTAATTTGGTGTTTGAAAATTATCTAATCGTCCGGTGAACTTCGTTCTTTAGTATAACTAGACTGATTGAAAAGTTTTGAAATTTAAAACGGTTTTAAGTTGGTTCATTAAATATTATAAAAAAATAAATGACTACATAATGTACTTTCACATCAGTCAATGGCTAAGCTTACTGACCTCAGCTTCATTTATAAATGTATAGTGAAAAAGATTAGATAATATGAAACACTTCTATTGATATAACTAACCAAAGTCTACAACATTTAGACTTTACGTACTGAGACTGGTTTCAAACTTTTAAGAATATTACTTCTATCGTAAGTATTTAAACATAATCTCACGTGTTATAAGCAGAGTTAAATGGTCGCTAGTAGTGGAACTCAGGAGGTGCATTTCTCACTAGTTAGGACACGTCAGTATGATACATCTACATTTCAAAGTTGATGACCACTAAATTGAGTGGATAACGCGATGGTATCTGAAACGAACGGTGTAGGTTTCGAGCTCCGAAGCGAGTAAATTCGGCTGACCAGTCTCGAATAAAATGAAACGCTAGTCCTGGATTCCGCTGTAAGCTAGCATCCAAATCTACTTATGATGCCCGTGACTTAACGGAAATATTTAGGCGATTCACATAGAATCCACATATACCAAAACCGACTGACCAATTAAGGTTTTAAACGCAACTGGGAAGACTTAAACAAACAGTAAAAATGAATTAAAATCTCACTCATATGTGAAACGCAGTAAAAACCACAGGTTTTCCTTTTATGATTTTTTGGCAAACAAACGGATTAAACGGAAACGAAAGTCCCATGGGATTGATAAACTTAAGATAGGAGATGATGAAAGAGTGAAGTAGATAGAAATACTACTAACAAATATAAACTTACATTGGTTAATACTTCACCATGATTACTGCACTCTACAAAAATTAGAATTTTAACGGATTATGAAAGACCAAGTTGTAAAATTACTTTGAGAATCTGTTCTGCTCGTGCTATCACACGATACATTTTGATTCAAAGTAGTAAGAACTGATTCAACGGGTAAATTAGATAACATTTTCTAAATTTAAAGATAAGAGCGTTTTGACATTCTTACGTCATCTATACAACTGGAATTAACTCTAGCAATTAATGATCTATACAATTTCGATCGTTTTTGTTCTGTTATCAAAAACTTTTTTAATTTAGTTTCTTTCAATAACTGTTCATTATGTGTTAATTCACTGATATATCTGGCATTTGAATCCTGGATATCATAAAATACTTTACCATTCAAAAATAAACAATTACCTCCGGTGGTAGAGTAAAGTGGTCTTTGAGAACACAACTACTATAACTCATGTAAGTACGATAACCAAGCAAAAACTTTGTTTATTGATTATGCTGGTAGTCTAAAAATAAAGAGTATAGCTATAAGCAAAGGGTGAACCATTACACCAAACAATAATAACAAAAAGAGTAAACATTAATCAATGATCAGAAAAGTAGCTTATGAACAATGGCGTAAGAAAAGGTATTACTAATTGAATTGATATTTAAACCAATAATAATCATATTGAAAATCAATCGTTATATCCCGACGTGAATAAAGAATGGTAACTTTTGGAATCCATTTATGTACCAAGAATCACAAAAGACCTTCTGTAATTACGTTTACCTCACAACTACCAAACGTGATCTTCAGTCATTCTAAACATAATTTAGTCAGAATGTTTAAAAATTGGTAAATAGCCCTCCATATTTCACCATTCAACTAGCTTATGATTGCAAAAGCCAATAATATTTAAACAACCGGGACTACTATATGCTGACTAGGCTTGATTATTTATCTGGTAGACCTTACTTTAAAAATAGTTAACAGCGATCTGGATATCTCAGAAAATAAATATTCACTGATACTAATAAAAAGAAGACAGACAAATCCTGGAGGAATAACCAATTTAAAAGACAATTTCATAAAGCAACAAGGAGGTGCATTTCATCAGAAGATCTTGCAACTTGTTTGCAAATGTCTACAAATACATATACTCCCTAAACTTTTTTCCTGGTATCAGTAATATTCTAAAAAAAAAGAACCCAGTAAAGAGCCTAGTAACTCATCTATCAACATTTATGTACATCCACGTACACATGAAGTCATCAAGTGGTTATGGAACTGGAACAAAGCAATAACAAAAAAATAATAGGAATCCCACACAATAGTAATGTGTCTCACTATTGTGCATCATTTAATGGCGTTTAAAAATCAGTACTCCAATTTTAGTCGGGAATTATACTTTACGGAAGTGAAGACATATTAATACTCCCGAAATACGTAACATATTCTACATACGCAGACGCGGATACTTTATTTGTTCAACGTAAAAATACTTAATGACTGAAAAGAATCACTAAACTACGAAAACGTAAAGTGATATCCAGGAACAATTATTGATTATTCAGCAATAGCAATAACTAGTTATTCAGGTCCATTTTATTTACTGCATAGAGAGAATATAATTGATCAAAATGTCGTGAAAGCGTCAAAACTAGAGCAAAAATTGGAGAAAAATCATAAAAATTCAATTGAGAAATGAAATATTTCGAAATATATTAAGACGATCGTCTTAATATTCACCTTGAAGTGTACTTAAAGTAAACTTCTAAAACCTTCACTTTGTAAATTGCAAACATGCACTAACATTTGCAGCTGTAACACTCATTGACTCTCCGCAAATCAGGACAGTATTTACTTGTATACCGTTTTCGTATAAGTGTTCAACATTGTTGTCAAGGTTTAATCCACAATCGAACAGTGCGGGAAAACATTGTCGACCTAAATACATATAAATAGCAAAAAAAATTCACTAATCGCTCATATATCGTTTAAAGACTCAAAAAGCAAGCTTACACGCATTTTTTGATCCTAGAATTTTTGAAGCTTATGTAAAATACGGGTGAATTTATCTGCAACGCAACCATGTAAACTTAATGTATCGCCAGAGTCATCTGTGCGTTCAAGTAACCACAGATTTTCTCATTTCATAATGTATTTTTAATTAAATAACTAGATTATGTTGTTAATTTTGCTCTGGTTATAATTTTTATTCGCCACGTCTGACTGCGTTACACTGTAAATTCATTGCACGCTGGGGTGATATCCCAAGTCATACTGAGTTTAATCTCATAGTTGATTGTTTCCAGATAGACCGTCAGTGCATAATGTTACTGAAGGAAGGTCTGTTGTACTGTAAATTATGTTTTTATGAACAACTGATTGTCATCTTCAGTCTGAAAGCAATATATATATACTTTGTCTTTTGTTAGGTAAGTTCGACTGGCCTATATTTCATGTTTTCGTTTGATCGGCTGAATTATGTCCATTTAACTACTTCGAGCAGCATGTCTGTGCAAATGAAACAATATTTGTGACACTTGCTTAGTTTAGTATTCTTGGTTGTCGTATAATTCAGTTTAAACTGAATTCGACTAATTATAATTAGTCGACTATAGTCGAAAGAATTATGGTATAGTTATATATATATTGCTTGAGTTGCATTAAATTGCAGTCGTGAAATACACATATTACAGGCAATGATGTACGAGTAGGTTGTTTGATTCAAACACGACACTACACTCATTTCATCCTAAGTTCTAGTTCTAGTTATCTGATCTGTATGCATCGAATATTATTTGCTTAAACGATTATTTATATTTACTGTTGAATATATATTGCAGGTGGAGATGCTACAGATATTGGTAGTTTGACAACACTTTAACCAGTAACACCTTGAATTGAGTCGTGCCCACCCACTGAAATCAGAAATCAGAAGCGAGGATACATGCTTGATAGGTTACCAATATATCAAATAGAAATTGATCTAAACTGGCTAGTGGTTGCAGAAGTAGTTAATCACAGTGATCTGGTCCATATTCTGTGACCCAACTATCGGGTGATTTGGCTAGTGCTAAGTGACATCACACGGACGCTAAAATACTCCCAAATCAGACTCAACCGCCGTCTGAATTGGAAACAAACATGTTGGAAATGAATCCGCGCTGGGGGTCGCTAAACGATCAATATGAATTTTCTAAGTATTGTCGAGTACTCTAGATCACCAACGTATATTAACTTTGTCGAGTGATTGGAGGCCTACTCGAGTTAGACAGGAATAATATGACGATCTAGCTAAATTTAAAGTCACATTTCACGGTCAGCAGCTAACGTGGATTACCCCTTCGACGTATCAAAGTCATATGGCTGCTTAGAAGACCATATAACACAAAGAACGTCACCATGGAAATATGTAAATATAAATGAGTATGGAGAAGATAGAGAGACTGTGCTGGCATACGACAATAAACACACGATCCTCAAAGCTGAACGAATGGATTGGATGGCATGGCTCAGCCATGCAGGCGTGGTCATCGTCTAGTGTTGCTACAAACTTTTTATTCACGTTTAGTATATTGCTGTATCTCTAGCTTAAATGTGTTATCCATCATATATTGGTGATTTTTACGATAGGATGAATCAGTGTAGACAATGATGTGACTTCGGCGTAATATTTTATAGATTAGGTAGTTACATCATGACAAATGTACAATTTTAGGGTTAAATCTATCACCAAAGCAACACAAATATCACAGTAGACCATAATTCTACAAGACCATCACAATATGCCGTCCGATATTTTCAAAAAAATCGATTACGAACGAACAGATTAACATTTTGTGAAGATTGTCATGTAGCTGAGGTGGTTACAAATTCTATTGTTTTCATTCACATGATCGCACATAAACATCATGGGAATCAAAAAAAGCGCGTGTTAGATCACTCTACACTTTGAGCTCTATACAAGTTAACAACTAACTGAAGCTTTGCTTCAACTTACTATTCGGTTTTACATTTTTTGTCATCGATGCTGGTGGTGACAGTGATGTTAATCGATAAAAGAAGTACCCACAAGACGATTGTGAATAAAAACAATACCTATATTGAAATATTTTCCTTAGGAATTAAGACTCCTATGAAATCGTTTAGATCAGTTTACCAGCAGTGAATTCCATAGCTTGACTGCATGTAGAAAATAAAAAGTGCCACTAATGCCCGTTCCATCGTGTTGCGCCTGTAGCGGTAAATATATACCCAAAACAAATATTTCTACTAGTTTTTAACATTCAAGTCGACCTCATTAGATTTACTGTACACACCCAGCTGAAAGCACTCCGTCGCGCAACCAAACACAGATCACGAGTGGGTACTCTGTCCTACGCATCACTTGTAACTGCAGGACGACTTAGACTTGATGTATCACTACATATGGATGGAATCCCAAATGTATCTTCAGATGTTTCCAATTATGACCTCTGACTTGAGTGCATTGGTGTTACGTGAAAATGAATTGTCAAACTACGAATATCTGTGGCATCTTTAGTGGTGAAATAAACGTGATGTGGTACACCAACTAGTTAAATGTATGTTCGCTCTTTGTTGGAACATTATAAATCATTTTTTGACTTGGAGTTTTACCTATCATGCTATTTTTTTCAAATTTTTGGATATTTTTACTAGCCCATCAAAATTCCATATCTTTATCATAATAGAACAGATACCTTCGTTACTCAATATTATACCTCTTTCGACCCACACCATTCAACTAATACCATTATTGACCGACAGTATAGAGGCTTGGTTCTGTCACGCGAAGGCTGACTTCGATGAAGACAGTGTGGCAGATTCAAGCGCACAATTTATTTAAGTAGTGAAATCACCATCGCGTGAGTTTAACGGGTCCATCACACCTAGCATAATCAGCAGTTATGTTTCAAAACCTTAATAAAAATTAAAAAATTCTATGCTTAAACGTGTAGAACAAACCGACAGACAAGGGTTAGACATTGAGATAATTCGTTGCTTTGTTTATCGATCATATTGATAACAGTTATTATATAAATCTAAACAGCGTAGGAGTTCAGAAGGTGATAAGAAGCGGAGACCACAGTTTGTAATTGTACAATACAGATGATCAAGTTGCAAGCAAAACGAGTGAATTGGAGCAGAGAGGCTTGTGTGTTTGGGCAAGTGAATACGCAGGCGGATTTATAGTCAAATCGCATCAACTCGTAGTAAAGTAAGGCATAGGCTGAGTAGGTCGACGAGGAGCGAATGCAATTATTAGGATTCGAGCACATACAAAAGAAGTGGAATAATTCATCAAGCGATATTTGAGCGACTAACATTTAAGGTGGAGTGAGAAATATGCATGCCATCTGTCAAATGTGATCAAGTATGCACATCTATACAGACAAGGTAGCGATCTTTATAAAACAAAGAAATAGACAAATTATTACACTGGCTGTTAAATAAGTTAATAAAAAGGATCGTCAGAATTAAGCGTGATCAAAATTAATTGATGGAGTGATGCTATCAACTCTTCTACAAAATCAAACCTGTTACGCAAAGTAGTGATATCTGCACATTCAGTTGACTCATTCAGAAGAAAACTAGGCGTTCAAATAGACATACTAGAAAAGGAATGACATAGTTTGTATGCCTTCTCTCTCTACTACGCAAATCCGAATGAAATTGAAGTCAGAAATTGAAAGCGCAAAATTTAAAAAGGTACGTTGCTGCACTTTTTGATAAGGTTTACCGTAGATATTTATCACTCGTTTTTCGAATCAGTTTTGTCTGAAAGTGGTTTGAACTCTTAGTTTTTATTCAAAAATCGTGTTTTTGTCCGTCGTTAGTATTCTTAACGGGAGGTCGTTAGTTGAGCATTCATCATACAGTAAAATAATAATATTATTAGACCTGATCAAGAGATTTTAGATAATGTTTCGATGTTGATGCGCTTACCCTTTCTGGGATTAAAAGTGAATGAAAATGTTATCATCTAAAGTAGAGTGATTCATTGGGTATTTGGTCATTTTTTTATTCTGTCAGTTGATGTCAGAACGTTGAGGAGAAAGTAAATTTTTTGCTAAGCCATTTAGAGATAGTTGTGCAGTTTTAGATTTCTAACATTCTTTCGAATCTCAGCTTAGTTTGTAGATCAAATTATTATGTTCCTGTACTTAGGTTTTGTTTCAAGTAATTTGCAAACTATCGTTATCATGTTCTATATTGTGTTTGTTTGCATATTTTATTGATAATACCTTTTTTAAAACTGCCTCATATCACATTTAAGAACATTCAGACAGTGTAATACGTATGATATCCTTTTTAATTGTAGATTGACTTCATTTTCTTTCAGACTCACCATCTGGATCCATTTACGCCTTTGTTTCTTTAATATCATTGTATTCAAGGTTTATTCATTCATTAACCCACAATAGTCTCTAAGCCTGTTGGTTTATCTGTTCAGTTCGTTATTTGTTGCAATAATGTATATTCATGCGGTAGAGTGGTTTTCCGATGCATTCATATTAACAGTTTCTGGGGTAATATCCACTATTATTACATAACACCTCTAAAATACTTTAGTTTATGGACAAACCCATCTCTAATATCCCTTAGACTATAGGTTGGATGTCTGTTAAATGGAATTAAATAGTTATCAACCTTATCCTTTACTTGACTACAAAGTAGTGTGAGGAATTAGAATTATGTTTTACAGTTGATAACTAGGGTTAAGAACTTGATTTGGTGTTTTGATCACAAACTGACATAAGCTAAGATTCCAAAACGCTATTTAACCGAATGGATGAATGAATTTCACACCGAAATCTAAGACTTGTTATCTCATATGTGATTGATTCTTCCTTAAATTATAGTCTCGCCTGACTAGCAAGTGTTCACGGACAGTCTTCATTTTCCTAAGCCTTAATT